GAGCATCCCTCTCTTCTGCCTTCAAGTAATGGGCATTTTCAATTGACAACGCTGGATCTATTTCACTACACCACACCTTTTTCCTGTTAACTCTGTTTTGATCCTTTTAACATTTTCTGTGCTGAACTACTGACTGAGCTCTTACGTCCCTGTGCAACTTTTGTTACGGGCTTCCCCATTCACGCCCACCCCGCTTAAGCAGGGAGTTCCTTAACCACGGTTAGGAGCCCTGCGGACCAACAAGGCCTCGTCTGAGAGTCGCCAGCAACCCTCACCCGCTCTTGGGAAACTCCGCGTGGTGTCCCGACGGCGCCGACAGTGGCGCCGGCGGCAGGGAGACTCGCTGGACCTTAAAGAGGGTCCAAGCCCGCACACTTCTCCCCTGAGACCGCCGCCCCGCACCCCGCGGGAAGCGCCCCGGCTGTCTCGCTTCCCTCTCACCTGTGGGCGCGCTGTCGAGGATGCGCAGGTCATAGGCTCCCGAGCAGCGGTAATTGGCGGCCGTGCCGTTGTCCCAGACCACCACCACCTCCTCGGGGCTTTCGAAACTGCGCACGGTGCCCACATGGCCCTCGCCGCCATCCTGCTTCCCCCATTTCCAGTCGGGTCCCCTCACGACCCGGGCACCGACGCCCTCCACCATCACTCGGTTGTTCCTCGAATTGCTCATTGTTACTCAGCCTTGCCGGGGCCGTCCCTCGCGGTGCAGCGACGAGGCCGGGAGAGTCGCTGACGCCAATAACGGGGAAACCGAGGCCGTAGGGGATGCCTTCTCGGAAACGCCGGAACAACAAAAGACCTGAAAAGCGAAGGAAACCAGCCGGCCGGTCTCGTCCCGCGGGGTAGATAGGATGCGGCCTCCGCCAGCGGAGCGCAGAGTTTGCGACGTATAGCCTCCCCCCCCCCCCCCCCCGCAACCCCCCCCTCCCAAAAAAAATGGTGTCGCCCAAACCGGAGAAGCTGGCCGCGCTTTATGCAGGTTCGAAAGGGGAGGGGGCGAACCTTGACGCTTCGGCTACATCCGGGCACTATGGCGGTATCGCCATCCCGGCCGCGGTAGTAGTGGAGGTAGGGCACACGGGGCTCTCCTGCGCATGTTCCAATCCTGCAACCGGGGAAGGGAAGGGCCCCATTCACAGAACAAAGGAAGCGAGAGACTCCTTAGGGACCTCTAGGGGAACGAGAAGTGTATTGCACCGCCTAGGGCCGAACTTCTGGATTTGCAATGGGGACTGCGCGAAATGTGGCCGCACCTGAAAGCTCTCTCGAGCCTGATGAATCAGGCCGGCAACAAGAGCAAGGACAACTGGAGGGCAATAGCTCCCCCGCCATCGCTCGCAGTAGCTTTTCTGCCGGCGTTCCTTTCAGGACCGTCCTTGGTTAAATCGTTCGGCCAAGCCGCTTTGTGACCAGGTGGCTGTGATTATCTCAGGATTGTCTCCCAGTAACTGCTCCGTTGAATTATTGGAAGCTAATCTTTGTGTTACCAGTGAATGCATCTAGTTACCTTGCCTTCTCTTAGCCTCCTCTTCTTCGATGCAACGTTTTCTCCCATGAATCTATATAGCCTTCTCATGTTGTGTTTAGGATAAATGCTTCGGTGAAAATCAGATTTAATTTCATCTAATATTAGATTTTCTTTCTGTCCAAGGTATTTTCAGTCATATTCTTCCAACGATTCAAAAGCAATGGGATCTTTCTGAGTATCATGCTTTCACAATCTTACCCTACTACCTTGGGAAACCATAGTTTGATAAACACATCTGTCAACGCGATGTGTCAACACTTTTAGCCTTGACATTTTCCCAAATAGCAGAGCTAACTCATTCACCATGCCTTTAACATTTTGAGCCTATGAAGATAAAACTACTCTTAAGTACAACTTTTATTCTGCCTTTTTGCTTTGCACTAGCTGTTGGTCTTTTCTTAACAGAGTAGTTAATTGGTATTTCACTATTCTGTATGTTTCAAACACTTAATGTATTGTTACTATTAATGTCATGAAGTGGTTTGCCTCTTTCATGAGATGTTATGAACTATTCTTTATAGTCATAGAAAACCTAACATAGATATGGCTTGTACTCTTCAGTACTCTTTATTAGCAACATTTGAAAAATATTTTAATAGGGTCTGCTAATATTTTTGTTTTCAGAAAAAGCAAAGAAAAATCATGCAACTTCTTAAACAATACACATTATGACATATGTCTATGGACTAGCAGCTGTATAAGTTGAATAAAATGTACAGTTAGTAACTATTTAGTTAGAATACAAATGCAACCTATTCTGCCAACCTTGCACTTCGAAAGCATGTAAAAAAGCTAGTAGAAAAATAGGGACCACTTTGGTGGGAAGGTAACAGCATTCTGTGCACCTTCAATGTTTAGTCATGCCGGCCACATGACCACAGAGACGTCTTCGGACAGTGCTGGTGCTTCGGCTTTGTAACAGGAGATGAGCACCACTACCTAGAGCCAGAATGTGAGGGAAACCTTTACCTTTATAAATGCATATTGTACAAAGTTGTTCCAGTGATCTTTTACAGGAATTACCATTACTAATAGTTATAATTGTTCAATAAATTAGCACCTGTAATAGGACAGCCTATCAACAGGGATGATGAGAAGACATTAGCAGTTATGCTAATGTCTCAATTAGAGCTGCCTCAACCACCACAAAAAGTGGATGATGTCATCTTCAACACACCCATGACCACCCAAAAAAGCAGACTGGATTTATCTTTTCCTGCTCCAGTTTTAAAGAGAAATCTTTCAACTCTTGCAGCATAAAACATGTGGAATTATATGCAATGTACTGTTCACAGTTAGTATTAGGGGTAGGGATCTGTCCATCTCACACTGGCCCCTGAGGCTGCTGCCCACATGCTCTCAATCCATCCTTGGTCAGAGATTTTCAGGGCCACCTGCAATCCACATTGGAAGATTGGGATAAAGAGGTCTCTCTCCCACTTCTCTTGCCAATCCTGCCAGCAGACCTTATTTTCTGACACACACAATGAAACATAACTAATGATACAGGCTCAGTTTACAAAAAAACATTGGGCTAAAACACATGATAGTTGGTTTGTAGCTTAATGTACAACAGTAGCCTATCTCTTGCAGTGTTATTACAATTTTTTTTTACCTCATAGATGATTCTCTTTATTTTCATTTACTAGTTATATATTGGTTTTGAATAATTTTATATTTATTCCAGCTGGAGTATTAATCATTTTTATGTTTATTATGGAGTGCCATTCAATGCTATTAAATTACTAAATAATTCTAATAAACATAATAAATGGGGTAAATATTTATTGGCAGGTTACATATTATTCAGATCACTCCAGGTTCAATCCACAGAATTCCAAGTAAAAATTTGTATCTACCTAAGCACTGGAAAAGTGCCTGCCAGTTAAAAATAAACAGTATAGGCCTTGGTACTATGAACTTGGTACTAAGGCTATTTCCTAGAGTTTATTTATTTATTTGTTAAGCAATTTATTTATTAATTCTAATACCCATATTCAGTGTGTTACTCAATGCACATTGTGGGCAGAGTGTGTTGGGAAATTCTAATGCCAACAGCATAATCTTCTAACCTCCTTAAAGTCTGTAGAGATTCGCAGTCATCCAGGCGATGGTTGTCCCAAAGGTACTTTCTCAGGAGGCAACTGGACTTTCTAGTTTTTTCTAGTTTTTTTTTTCTTTTGAAGACATTTAACTTCTCATCCAAGAAGCTTCTTCAGCTCTGACAGCTTCTAACCTACTTGTAGATCTGGAAGCTTCTTGTTTGCTTCTATGAAAAGTATAGATGGACTGTTTTTGGATCTATTTGATCACCAGTTCTGTTAGTTTCAAAATATCAATATTATTGGAAATGGCTTTCAATGATAGTGGAACATTATACTTTGCTAGCCTATGGCATCATGCAAGTGTTTGCTTATAATAACAAACTTACTATAAAACTAGTTGCACTCATGGATAAAAGATAGCACTGATATTATTCATAATCTTCTGAACAAAGGCCAGCATGATTATGGCCAGATGGCTAGGACAACAGAAAGATATTTCATATATAAAACTACTGGTATTATGTACTAGCTTTTGAAACAGATAAAAATTATCACACAGAACTAACTTCTTCTAAACACAATTGTAATATTTAAGTTTAAGACTACATTTGAACTACTGGTATTCTCAGAACACATGGTAAGATCTAGGGGACTTTGGTTGCTCTCTGAAAAACAGAATTACGAAGTTGGAAGGGACCTTGGAGGTTTTCTAGACCAACACCTCGCTCAAGCACAGAACTATACCATTCCAGACAAGCATCTGTCCATCCTCTTCTGAAAGACCTCCAGTGATGAAGCACCTACAACTTCTGAAGGCAAGTCATTCCATCAATTGTTCTCACTGTTAGGAAATTTCTTTTTAGTTCTAGGCTGCTTCTCTCCTTGATTAGTTTCCATCCATTATTTCTTGTGTTACCGCCTGGTGCTTTGGAAAAGAAGATGAGGACCTCTTCTTTGTGGCAGCTCCTCAAATATTGGAACACTGTTATCATATCACCTTTAGTCCTTCTTTTCAGCAGACTAAATAAACACAATTCCTGAAGAAGGATTAAAGCACCAGGAGACTGGTAAAGTCCAAAAACAATGGCAAGCAATCCTTCATTTTTTACACAAATTTATTCACCCCTTTTCTATATCGCTCATCTCACCCAAATGAGTCCGTTGCCTATAATGTTGCCAAGAAAACTGCAGGGACATGGGCGAAATTTAAGTTTTCCGCTTACCGTACTTCACCAATGAGAAACAATGCTATTGAAAACAAATGAACAGTTTACTTGTAAAACTATCTACCAGTGTCACCCACCTCCTTTTTTATTTTTATTTTTTTTGTTACGCCCGGGATTCTTACAGCGTCTCGCCCTCCCCGCCGTGAGCTAAGGAAAGGAGGAACGGGGGCGGAGTAGCCTGGCCTGTTATCCTATAGAGAAACGGGAGCTTGCAGTGGAGTTAAAGCAACCCCTGTACGGTTGCAGCCGGCAGCTATCACGCTTTCGGAGAGCGCCATCCTTACCGTTGCAACCATCTCTCTCTCTCCCGTACCTCGGCGTTGTAATGTAAGGTAGAGCCGCGATTTCCTCGACGCGCCTAGAAATGAACTTACAAGAGCTATCGGCGTACTTGGAGAGTAGGGAGGGCTTGTTGGCCTCGGGGATCGGCTGGTCTCTTGTACTGTGCTTTGGAGCCGCGTATGTCTGCTATTATCTCAGGACGATCGCAAAGGTAAGGCTTTGCAATCGCCGCCTTTTACAAGTGGTCCGGAAAACCCACCTGATGGTAGACAGAAAGCGGGCGAGGCCAAACGACTCTGGTCGCCAGGCTCTGACCCGCTTTGAAAGAGACAGGTTAAGTTATCCATAGTTAACGTTATAAGCTAGGCCTTGAGGGCAACACACGGTTTGGATTTCCACGTCTGAGAAAGCCAGGCGTTTTAGGAGAGAAAAACTTAAGGGGCCATTTCTCCTTCCACGTTTTTAAATGAATAAAACGAAAATCGGTTTGTTTTTTGGGTTTGTTCTTCCTGTGTGACCTGGTGCCTCGGTAGTTGCGCAGGATACACTGCAGAGAAACCCGGCGCCAGCTTGTGGAAAGGGAAGGGCAAACGGACTCACATGCAGAAAATCTAGAATAAAGACTGAAATCAATGGAATGCATTGTCCTCTCTTACTACGGTATTAACCCTTTGAAATAAGGCCCCTAATTCATTGGTCTCCTCTGCAAATACAATTCAGATGTTGGGGGTTGCAATTCCCAAAATTTTAACCAGAGGAAATGGCATAGCAGTTTTATTCAAAGGACACCAGACAAGACAGCTTAAAAACTGTGTTCTTTGTGTGACATATCTACCGTATGTAGCAAGCCAAAGGAATAAATTATTATTCATAGTAATATTACTGTCTTTGCCATTTTTAGCTTTTCTTTTGCTGGGCAAGCTGAATAGTTGTGTGAATGAATTATTGGCCATGCTAAGTAAGTCTTAAAGAAATCATGGTGGAAAATATTTGAATTTGCCAATCCTGCATTTTGTAAAAAAAAGAAGAAGAAGAAGAAGCTGTTTGGAACAAAGGTACCCAAATTACAATATTTCATGGCAGGAAACGTATGTGGGAGAGAAATTCCGAAAAGTCAAGATGGCAGACACAACTATGCAATTGCAGCAGCTGCCATCTTTACCTTTTTGATCCCTTCCACTCCAGCAAATGTCCCTCTGGTAAACATTAAATAAGCTGATTTAAGACAATATTCAATTTTCTTCAAAAATTAAGAGTCTTGGTCTGGATGATCCTGCCTATAACAGCAGCCAATTAAATATTTCCAAGTAGTCCCTAAAGAAGGCATTAAGATCATATCGCTCATCTGTAAGTGACTGTGACTTCTCTGAGTCTACAAGGTATATATGACAATTATGATTGGTAGCTAATAATAGTTGGCTTTTAAACAGCCTTTTTCCCCCAACCCGTCCTCCTGCAATCTAGTTTTCTGTAAGCCTTAAATATTAGGTAGCATTCCATGGTTTCTGAGCCAGGCAGTTTTTCACTGGCCAAGTTCACTGTGTTCTGTGGGGGACCTGTGATTCACACTTAGGTAGATGTGGTTGGGCTGAGATTTTTTGTCAAAATCCAAGCTGGATAAAAGAAGATGAGGCCAATCATCTGTCTGTATGCTCAAGAAAATGTAAGGTGTTGGACAGCTCCCTTTGGGTCTTGCTATTTGCAGTTCTCCCTGAATGACTGATTAATCTGCTCAGCTCATGATAAATGTGGGCAGCATACAGTTAAAAACAAATTCATTGCAATGAAAAAGAAAAAGCAGGTGATTGCCTGCAGGCCAGTGTAGCCAGCATATTCAAGGCATTTCCTCAGAAGGTACATACTCAGCAAAGCTGGCTGAGGAATTTCTGGGAGTTGAAGTCCACAGGTCTTAAAGTTGCCAAGGTTGGAGACCCCTGCACTAGAGCCTATTTAAGAGACAGCAGGATCAAAGCTACTTTAAAGTCCTATCCCATCCCCACTACCCTTAGGCACTGGGATAAGTACTCAGCCTTATTGTCACTTGGTTGATGCAGGGTTGAGATACAAATTGTGTGTCATCAACATATTGATGATACTGACCCTGTTTGATGAATGGCTTTAATGGCTTCACTCAGTGGCTTTAAGCAGATGTTAAACAAGAGAGGCAAGGATGTAAATTGTGGACCTCAGGGTCAGCCCCTCCACACTGGAAAAACACCATGACTGATGGTATGAAATGTCAAGGAGAATCAAGACAGCAGGCTGGCCCCATTGCTAGAGGTCACCAATAAGCATAAAGAAGCTTGAAACCTGACTGAAAGGAGTCAGATAATCTCCTTCCTCCTAAACTCTCTGAAGTTGCAGTCTAGCTACCTCAACAACATTCCTGCAAAAAAAAAAAAAAAACACGACAACCCTGCATTAAAATTACAAAAGGATAATGTGGAAGGCATCTGGATTTTTATGTAGGTTAACAGAATTTGCACTGTGACTCAGATTACAAGCACACGGGGTTGTAAGCAAGGGTTTTTTTAAAGCCCTTGCTGAATTATTGTCTTGAATAAAATGTGTCCTTTGTCTTCTGCAATATAGGGGGAAATGGAGTGAATTGTTATTAAGACTTCTCTTATGTGTCCACAGATGTTGGTAATAGCCCTGCAGGCAAGAAAATAAAGGAGGAAATACTGAAATTCTTCCCTTAGAAAAACAGGCTGTGACCTAACTTACTTTAAATCTTTCTCTGCATATTACATATTCCTAGAGTTAAGGATCTTGACATTTTTGTAATTTCTAATACCTTTCTTCTATGTGCCAGGTGCAGCCTTGGACATGTATTATATATGCCTTGGACATATATATTCTAAATATAGTATATAAAATCATACACTACAATGTCCTACCGGAAAATGAATACTTCAGCTTTAATCATAACAATACAAGAGCACACAATAGATACAAACTCAAGGTTAACCGCACCAAACTTGACTGCAGAAAATATAGCTTCAGCAACAGAGTGGTCAGTGTTTGGAATACTCTACCTGACTCTGTGGTTTCTTCCCCAAACCCCCAAAACTTTAACCTTTGACTGACTACTATTGACCTCACCCCTTTCCTAAGAGGCCTGTAGGGGGCGTGCATAAGTGCACCAATTATGCCTACCGTCCCTGTCCTATTGTTTTTTATTTTTCTTATAAGTATCTATCTCATGTATTCAAAACTATATTCTTATACCTGTATCTTGTAAGCGATTGACGAATCAAATAAATACTAAAAAATACTAAATGTAAGAATCATGTATGATAGTACATTAAGATATTTTACAATACCCACGTTTACCATATTCTGTTAATTTCTCTCTCACACTCACTCACTCACAAAATTATCTTTTATTTTTCCTATGTACATGAAACCTAAATAATGGTACATTCTTGTAAAAATGTGTATTGTTACAAGTACATCCGTTATGTACAGAGTTGCCTTACTTGCTGTACTATTCCTTTTTTTGAGCCTGTTGAACTTTCTAGATATAGATTTCTTGTCTGCAAGTTTAAAAACATTTTGGTATTGGGGATAGGGAACTTAATCCAAACTGCATTCTTACATGCAATTATTTCTGAAAGTTGCAAAATGTTACCCTGCTTTGCTCCTGTTTTTTTTCAATGGGAACTTCCGCAAATTTCTACACAACATTGCACTGCTGATTTGTTATTCCCAGTGCATCTCAGATCCAGTTCCAGAACAGCAACTTCATTGTGCCTCCCTGTAAACTTTCTCTAATATTTCCTCCTTCCTAAATGTCTTTCTAGAAACCTCAGCTGATAACTGGCAATGAGAACTTCTGCCAATTTCTGCAGGACCAATGCCCAGTGTTAACGGAAATATACTATCCCACTGTATGGTGCTGGGAAGGCCATTTGCAAACACTTCTACGCCCTTTCATTACATCTAAACCAAACGTGCAATATAGGAAGTAAGTGCTGTTTTCTGTCCTAGACAGCTGTTCCTTCCAGAAAATATAGGAATGCCCATTCTCTATATAACCAAGTGTATGCTTAAGTCTTTCTTCCTTTTCTTTTTCCTTTCCATCCTTCTTTCCTCCCTTCTTTCTTTCTTTCACCTGGATTTACTTTCAGTACTTGCCTGTCACATGTTCTGAGAATAGAGAGGAGAGCAGAAGCACTCCATAGACCTTTGCACCTTTGGCAGAAGATAAATTTGGAATCTTACTTTTAGCTGACTGCAAATAAGCTTCTACATCAAATAAAAACTTTAGTGTACAGGTACACAGCAATTTTTGGGGGGAGGAATTGGTAAGAGTGAGCCAATGCAAATGCAAAAGTTCTCTTCTCACGAGAGCATATTCTTGGAACATCTGAAGAATAACTTCTGAGCTTTTAGATGAGAAGAGTAACATTTTAGAATGCAAACTACCAGGCTATGGAATTTTTTAAAAAATGGTTATTGCACTTACCAGTCCAGCTATTATATAGAAGTTGCATTATATTTTAAAAATTCTTTGAATGAACATGAATTAGAACAAATAAAGATAACTGTACTTTCATTAACAATGTCATGTTAGTAAAAGAGGTATTTATGAAAAGTCAATTTAGGAACAAATTTGTTACCATACATAGTAGCTACCATTCTCCTTCTACTTCATAACTTTCCTTTCCATTGCTTTTTAAGTGGAAATAATTTACAGTAGGAGCTTTCAGCATTTAGTCACATGTCTGTTCAATGCCTCTTATTACACGCAAGTAAATTGATGTGACTTAATTAACAATCTCAAGAGCTTCAAAAGTTTTCATGTTACTGCTGCTTCCAAATGGTGATAGTGGGGAGATGAACACATAAAGAAATAAAATGGGCATATGACATTGGGATAAGTAAATTCTACAATTTAACCATTTTGGTTCCATGACTCTCCACGGGAACTGGGGATAGCGATGGTGTGGTTAATCTCCTCTCATTGCAGGAAATGGAAATAAAAAAAATGAGGGCCTCTTCCCTCCCCCTCCATGCCCGTTCTGCCAGTTAAACTCCACCGATGTTGCTTGCATTAAGTGATTTATTTAATATAAACTACCCAAAATGAATGTTGATGGGATCAATGCAATTATTATTTTGCTTCTTGTTAAAATATGGAAGCTTTGGTTTAGTTTCCTTTGTTTAAAAAAAAAATCATATGTCATATATTGAGTAGATAGCTTTACAAATTACTTAACTAAATAAATATATCCGGAGAAGAGTTGCAACCATAATGCTACTAAAACAACTACTGTCTGTAATGAACCTTTTTAAAACTCCAAATTTCTTAACATTCTACTATGAAGAAACAGTTGGCTACAGCAATCTTTTGTTATGTTCTAGTTTGGTCACCATAGGCGGCTCACGGTTTCATTCAAAGAAATGCACGCATTTGTGAGTGAGAGGATTCAGGAGATAAAACACTTCCCCGTCATTCAGCACAAAAATCAGTGAGATGTTGAAGGAAGGAAGAGCTCTCCTACCTATTTGGCTCAACACGGATGCACCTTTCAGCCCCTCCCTCTGCCGACTCCTACAAATTACTGTCATTGGGGTGAACAGGCAGGCTATTAATTACTGGCCACTTAATTGGAAGGCAGGCCTCTCCTTTTTCTTCCCCCTGCCCATCTCCTTAAAGCAGGCCATGCCATCTCTTACAGGACCAAAGGCCACGCCTGATATTTAGAGCAAGGGTCTTCAAACTTGGCAAGTTTAAGACTTGTGTACTTCAACTCCCAGAATTCCTGAGCTAACATGGCTGGAGGAGGAATTCTGGGATTCGAAGTCCACAAGTCTTAAAGCTGTCAAGTTTGAAGGCCCCTGATTCAGAGGATACAGGTAGTCCTTGACTTACAACAGTTCACTTAGTGACCATTCAAAGTTACAGTGGCACTGAAAAAAAGTGACTTGTGATCATTTTTCATACTTATCACTGTTGCCGCATTCCCATGGTCACATGATCAAAATTCAGACGCTTGGCAACTGACTCGTTTTTTGACGGTTGCAGTGTCATGTAATCACCTTTTGCAAACTTGTGACAAGCAAAGTCAAATGGGAAAACCAGATTCACTTAACAACTGTGTTACTAATTTAACAACTGCAGTGATTCACTTAACAACTGTGGCAAGAAAAGTCATAAAATGGAGCAACATTCATTTAACAAATGTCTCAGTAACAAGAACCTCGGGCTGAATTGTGGTCGTAAATTGAGAACTACTTGTATTCCAGGAGCTTGTTAAATAATTAAATACTTGTACTTGTATAATTAAATAAATGCATTTAGTTATTTCCCTTTATGTGAGAAGTTTCTTTTCTGCCACTTTACAAATACAAAGGCAGGGCAACTTTTAGAGCATCTCTGCGAACTGATTGAGGGGATTTGCGTGCACCCTTACATTGAATGAGGGGCCTAGTTTTACACTGCATTTCTGTAAAGCAGTTTACTATTGCTGTTGTTTTTCTCAGTGAACTTATTACAGCTACAGATGGAGGACAGATTTCCCTGGACTGGTTTGATAATCACAATAGCATACAGTACCCTGATTCCAGCACCAGACCTACTATCCTATTGCTGCCTGGCCTCACAGGAACAAGCAAGGAATCATATATTCTTCATATGATTCAACAGAGCAAAGCACTGGGATACAGGTATGATAATTTGCCCTTGACATTTTTCTTGTAATTCTGTTTGTGCAATGGAAACTGTGATTGTCTATAATAGATGCAAAGAATTAGAGAAAATTTCCATCCCTGATCATGCTTTTAAATGCATGATAAACCCATAAATGTTTATGGGTCCCTTTGGAAAAGGGTCCCGGTAGAGATGACACAAAATAGCAAATTCCAAGCTTCAGAGGAGTTGCTTCAGGAGAACTAGGCCACATCGGAGACCCAGTTCAATGTAGAGATTAAGGTACAAGGTTAGAAGTGGTGAGATATGTTACAAATAAAATTAAGCAAAAGGATAATGAGCAAAAGTAAATAGGAAACTGGAATCTTGGATATTGAATGAGACTCCTTGAAAGGCCGCCTTGGTCCTCAAGCCCTTTAAAATTTTAAAACAAAAGGCTTATACACATTTTTCCACATTCGTCCCTAGTAATGTAGTTTCTGTGCCTATAGTCTAGCCAGTATAGTCCCCAGGTGTTATTGTAAAGATGCTATGTCTGTTGCCTGTTGCTTAGAAGCAATTCCCATAAAGTTCTCTGGAATAGAAATCCTAAGAATATAAAGAAAGCAAACCTAGTCAGCAATCCTGATAAACCATGCCGTAGCCAACTGAGGTTAGTTGCAGAATATGGTAGCTTGCCATCTTGTTGGATGAGAAGTTAGTTTTGCATCTCTTTGTTTAGGGCAACTGTAACCTGGACAGTAGGAATTTTAACACTCTCATCTAGTAATTATCTGGATTTTTGCAACCCAGATCTTAGAGCTCTCATGTTAGAGCCCTCCTCCAATATTCATTCTAGCAGGACAGATATAATAGGACTCATTCAAAAACAAAACAAAAAGTAACAAGCATGCAAAACAGCCATGGGATGTTGCAACTGTGATTTTTTGTGTTGCTTACAGTCCTTAACAAGTTCTTATGGAACTTCACACCTGCAGTTTGCTCCCATTCCTCTGCATGGAAATCTGCTCGTGTTTCATCATCCTAATTCAAAGCATGGATTACTTGCATGTTTGGGAAGGAATGTCATATTTGCTTTAACAGGCAAGATACTTTTTTTTAGAAACAATGTTCTGAAAAAGCTAATTGCCAATTACTAATTGATAATTGATACTAATTGATAAAACAGATTTCCCCTGCCTCAATGTGACTTTCCCAAGAATCAGTCAGGGCCAGTCCAACAGCATCGGGTTCTGGAAAAAATGGAGGCTCCCTCCCAATAGAATAGCAGGTGGAAGTCAGCCAAAGTAAATTGTCTCCTGACATGGTAATATGGAGTTGGTGGCTGCTTTGCGTTTGCCGTAAACTAATTCAGCTGTGTATTAGCCAGTGAATAATTCGGCTAGTAGGATTTTCAGCTGAGCCAGTTGAACCAAAGGCTAACCACAGGCCCATGTTAACCAAAGGAAGGATCAAACTGATACAGTCATTGTCATAAGTCAGTTTTTACTGAGGGTTGTGAAATAAAAGAAAATACTTGAAGCTCGTGTTTTAGATTTTGGCAGTGGTTTGCTCTCCAAGCTTGTTTCAATTTAGTTTCTGAACATTTCATTACCAGACTAGGTAACACCATCAGCAGGATTTTCTTGTCCCATTGCTCTTTTGCTTATAAATGTCTTGTGTGCCAGTGTGGTTAGATGGAATATGACAAGAAAATCCTGCTGATGATGTTACCAAGTTTGGTAACGAAATGTTCAGAAACTAAATTGAAATTGCTGTTTTATTTCCGGATCATTTTGTTACATCAATAAGTGTCATCTTGTGAAGTTTTTTCCCTCCATGTCATTTTGCAGTAATCCATCTGCAATGTTATTTAGAGCTGTGCGCAGGGGATCTTCAAAGCGCATTAGCCCAGAGTCAAATCCCAGGTTTTTCAGCAATTGAATTCTCATCTTATAAATTTCACTGTGGCCATGTATTTCTTAGTGTACTTTATTCTTATTCTAAATTTCCTCTCATCTATAAACCAATGATGTTTGGGGGCCCTTCACCCTCATTCTGCTTATCAGAAAGCTACTTACCATACTTCTAATGTCTCCTTCCGGCCCACACCCTTCCCAGCAAAATAGCTATAGGTTTGCAAGACCTTTTCATGTGTTGTCTCCATCCAAACCTTCATTGCCTACAATTGTGGTTTGGGCTGGCCATCCTAACTCCACTCTTACCTCTTCCTTCTACCTCCTGGCCTAAAATGCTCATCCCTTCATCTTTCTTACAGGACCGGCTTGGCTTTTGCCTATGAGGGTGATTCCAACTTTGTTCCCTAGCAGTGCTTTTGAGAGACTTAAAGATTATAGTTTGCTGCAAACATCAACTGGTTTGCTCCCGTACAAAAACATTGTGATTGCTTGGGGTTCAGACATACTGAAAGCCAGAGAAAGGTATAAATTAGCCACAGCGGGCAAATCAAAAAGAGAAGGACAAAATGATGAGACATGGCATTCTGGGTGCAAAGACTGTGTTACTATTCTCAGTCTAAAGCCCACTTGCACCACAGAACTGATCTTTTGTTAGTAAAGAGGCACTTGCCACCTTTACTCCACAGTATGTATTATACTACAACATAAAACACTGCATTTTTCAGTGAGAGTTGAAAGTACCTCATCACCTTCATTAAAATTGGCTGCCGCATGTGTACCAGTGGCAAACACATTGAGGAAGTCGGCTATTTCCTTCCCCCTGATCCAGATTCTCAGCCTTCTTCCTGTTCTTATCTATGTGGCTACAGATGATTTAGTTTGGGCTACAGGAAAAAAAATTGGCAGATACGGAAAACATGTACCTCTGTGGAAAATACATGTTTTCTTTGTTTTGAATCTTTTGGCAAATAAAAAAAATCAATTGAAACAGCTTTCAGATATGTGGATCTTCACTTCCAAGAATATTCAAATGAACAATTCTGGTAAACAGTGCTCTTTGTTTGTTTTTTAAAGGTGTGTGGTTTTTAACTATCGAGGAATTGCTGGTGAAAATCTCTTGGTAAGAATTGCTCTTAAATAAAGTAAGAACATTGAGCAAATGTAATGTAGTGAGCATAACTGAAAAAAGTAACAATTTTTTACAAAAACAATTTTTTTTAAAGAAAAACTTAATTCCTTGGTAGCTATTCTAAATTTATTTTTATAAAATTTTGAAACCACCCATCTCCCTCAGAGGGACTCTGGATAATATAGAAAATTGAAAAAAATGACAAGGATGATTAAAAAATCAATGATAAAAGTGAATTAACAGATGGGAGGAGGATGTTCAGGGCATTAATCACCCCCACAGCTGTGTGCTCTTCTCTGAGCCTTAAGCAAGACCACAGTGTTTTCACACATGAGTGAAAGGCCAGGAGAGTAAGGTGAATAAAATTTCATAAGTAGCCTAGAGATGTAGAACTTTTAAGATCATAACCCACACGTTGAATTGGACCAGGAAGCAAACTAGCACCCAATTTAGCTTGCATAGCAAAGGTGATACATCTTCCCATATGTTGTTCTTTGGGCAGCCAGAATTGTACCAGTTGAAGCTTCCATATACTTTTCAAGGATACCCTGTGTAGAGCACATTGCAATAGTCCAAATGGGAGTTGACCAGGGTATGAGTGACTGAGCAAAGAGCCTCCCTGTCTAAGAATATAGTGCAAAATAGGAAGAAAAATAGTTCCATTGAAATAACAAATTGCATTACTTAAAACATGAAGGATGAAGAAGTGATTAACTCTATTGCTAAAGAGAATACAGTTAAAATGTGAAGGGTGAAGAAATTAGTAAGTGACAAATTTATCATCACACCCAGACAGAACATTGCCAAATTTGGAGAGAACAATTCAAGTTTCCAAGTTTGTGAATTAAATTGAAGCACTAATTCAGGGGTGTCAAACTCACGACAATACATCATCACGTGACGAATTGCAACTTTCCCCCCCTTTGCTAAACTGGGAGTGGGCGTGGCCAGCATGTGACACATCTGGCTCTCAGGTCACAAGTTTGACACCCCAGCACTAATTCTATTTAATTAATGTTCCTTAAGCATTCCTAGAAAGAAGGCAAAAATCTCACATATACTGCATTCCTTTAGGCTGCATCTGCTAATGCTAACACGTGTAATATAAAATGTAAGATCTGGTAATTGTCAAAGTACAGAGCAAAAGAAAACAGTGGTGAAATAGGATTGGCAGAGGATTCAGCCAGTTGCCCAGCTTTAAATGAATTAAGGGTACTCTCCATTCTCTCTGCTGATTATTCCACCGTTCCATCATTGCTTACTTCCTCAGAAAAGGACAGAAGGCAAAGGTTCCTCATCAGTGCCACAGATTAATTACTTACCCAAGAAACAACAGCTGCTGTTGCCTGCCTCCTTCAGGGCAATGGGATGGAAAGCCCAGGCTCCATGTCACAGAGAGGAGGAAGGAGTTGCCTTTGCTGCTCACCAACTGGGTGAGATGCAACAGCTGTCCCTCATGCCTTTGCCTGCTTTCTTTGCCTGGAAGTGAAGTAGCAGTTATGAGACCTGCTAGTTTTCTCTTCAATGAACAAGATGATGAGAGAGAAACCACCACATCCTAGGAGAAAATTCACCAAGAGAAAGAGAAATCTACGAAAGGCACCTAATCAACAGCATTTCCTCAACCCTTGTTTTTACTGAACTATAGTTTATAGTTTATAAACTATAGTTTATTCCAACAGTTAGAAGAGTAAGGCATGAATAATACAAATACAAATTATGTTTCACTTTTTGAAGTAGATTTGTAGAAAACACAGGGATCAGCAGAAAACAGCTGTGTAGGTTCTCAGTCTGATAAGCAACCATTTTAGGTAGAAGGGAAGATTTAATATACAGTATTTTACTATAATCTGCAAAGTTTAATTGACTTTCTTACTCGTTTTCATCATCTCCTCCATGTGCCATAATCATGTATTATATTGTTGCTATTTCTGCAACCTATGAGAGACCCTGACCTAAGCTTGAGGGAGTTCCTTTGTTTGCAAGGAACAAATGAGGATAAAATAAGATTTTGTAAGGACAGGGTGCTTGCAGTGAATGTCATATTTATTATTTTGAAGAACTGAATTTGTACTATACTTTAGATTCCGAATTATCTTGCTAAATTAGAGTTGTAGGAGCTTCCATTGCAGACTTGAAAAGTTTATGTTTTCTTGACCACATCTCATTATATTGTTCGAAAATTTTAATTTATAGCATGTAAGACAAAATGTAGCACCTGGATCTCTTCCAAAAATTGCCTAAATACTATGACCTATATTATTAAAGTAGTAGATAGGAAGCTTATTAAATGCATGGGGAGTAATCATATGACCTATGTTTAAGTTTAGTACAATTTAAATTCAATCAATGAGAGTCAGTTTAGTGTAGTGGTTAAGGCATTAGGCTAGACACTGTGAATTCTAGTCCCATCTGGGTGACCTTGGGCTAGTCACTTTCTCTCAGCCTTAGACAGGAGCAGAGGTGGTATTCAGCACGTTCTGACCAGTTCTGAAGAACTGGTAGCAGAAACTTTGAGCAGCTCGGAGAACCAGTGAATAACACCTCTGAGATTTTACAGTATCCTTCCCCTGCCATACCCATCAAGCCATGCCCACAGAAACGGTAGTAAAAAAATTTGAATCCTACCGCTGGACAGGAGGCAATGGCAAACCACTTCTGAAAAACCTTGCCAAGAACACTGCAGGGACACAATTGAACAGAAGAAAAATCAATCAAAATATCTTTTTTTAAAACAATAGTGATCAACAAACGACATAAAAAGCTAATTGGTCTTGGTTTAAAAGGACTGCAGTTCCTGACCTAGGAATTATATTTAGCTCAGGTGAGATGTATGTGTAGTTTTGTTTAAGCTAGCAGAATAATTCCAGGAATCGTATGGTATTCGAAGCCCAATGAGTTGCTCTCACTCCAGTTCTCTTGAGCATTTAGTTAAGCAGCATATCAGCCACTACATAAACATATGCTTTAAAAATATAGGTGGGATAGAAGCCCAACAAATCCTAAAATGATACTGTACCCAAAATTTCTGTTTGTTAAATGAGAGTTAGGTGAGTTTTGCCTCATTTTCTTGCCACAGTTGTGAAGTGAATCACTGTAGTTGTTAAATTAGTAACATGGTTGTAAAGTGAATCTGACTTCTTCACTGACTTTGTCAGAAGGTCATAAAAGGTTATCACATGACCCCAGAACTCTGCAGTCATCATAAATATAAGCCAGTTGCTATGCATTCAAATTTTGATCATGTGACCATGAGGATGCTGAAAAGATTGTATTAAAAATGGTCTTGTCACATTTTTTGGTGCCATTATAAAACGGTTGATAAATGAAAGATTATAAGTCAAGGATTATCTGTACAATGGTAACCAAAGCAACACATTAGAAACTGCAGGTCTAACTTCAGATAAATGTGTTTGGATAAGTCTCCATCCAAATATGTAATACATGAGAGGGCAGCAATTTTTATGGAAAGAGGCATTTATTTCATAATATGAATTATGACAGTTTTAAGGTGAAAATTAACATGCTGAATCATTCCTAGAAATTAGTTAGGAATCAAATGTGAAGTCCCTCAGGGAAATTAGGTCCATTCCAATTTCTTGCGCCTGATCTAAAATATCAATAAAGATTTTAGAGGTAGCCTTGTCTAGAGAATAATTAGCCAGCCTGGAAAGTAGAATTTTGCATGTATCACAGTTCACAGGTGCCTTGTTTCTGGAAATGGTTATAGAAAACTTCAGTAGATGAAAAGCTTAACCAGCTAAAGTTTATTTATGATCATAGTTCAAAATATAGTGTACTGTAGTATAGTCAAATAAAGCAAAGTTGCTTGAGGGAATGGACAGACAGAGATGCAAGTTTGGAAAACATAGTAATAGAATTATAGATAATCCAGGCAGAATTAAATTACCCTGCAGTCAGCATCCACCTCAGGGCCTTCTCATAGCAATTATAATCAAGGTAAATGGGGTAACTGTTCTGCTAACAATGACGAAACATTCCTACAAAGAGATATATCTAGGTAATAGATAAAACCTTATTGTGATCCGTGATCAATAAAACAAATCTGATTATTTTGTGTTCTTTACATTAGGTTTGTAAATTCATTTGTCTGTACATTCATTTGTACTGTATGTATGTATGTTTGTACAGGTAGTCCTTGACTTACGACAGTTCATTTACTGACTGTTTGAAGTTAAAACGGCACTGAAAAAAATGATTTATGATCATTTTTTACACTTACGACTGTTGCAACATCCCCATGGGCACCCGATCAACATTCAGACACTTGGGAACTGTCTCATATCCATGACCGTTGCAGTATCCCTGGCTCATGTGATTATCTTTTGTGACCTTCTGACAAGCAAAGTCAATGGGCAAACCAGATTTACTAAACAACTGTGGCAAGAAAAGTCATAAAATGGAGCAAAACCCACTTAACAAATGTCTCACTTAGCAACAAACATTTTGGGCTTGACTGGGATTGTAAATCAAGGACTTCCTATATAGATTTTCATTCATTTCTATATTCATTATTCAATATTTCACTGTGAAATAATTTTATCCAATCATCGGTAAGTACAGATACTATATCTGTATAATTCTTTTGTGCATTGCACAAAATCTAGCACAGAACGTCAGTGCAAACCCTTTTCTCTTTGGTTATTGGCCTTCTACTGCAAGTTAGATAGTATGGCCCAGAAAGAACTGAGCTAGCAGACAATACTTTCACAGTGTAAGGTACATCTCTATAATACAAACAAGTCGGCAACATACTAATACCATTTGAAGTTCATCATCTCCACATGGACATCATTGATCAGAGCAAGGCACTCTCCTTAAACTTTGTTGAAAGGAAACGATGGGATTATATTTAAGCAAGATCACATGAAGGCTCTACTCTGACTAGCATCTATGAAAATTATTTAGATGTGTTGCTGCTATGAGTATGATCAGACAGTATATTCCTGCTTGGTAGTGAATCCTGTATAATTTAAAGATCAATCTCTTAATTTATTGTTTAAATTATCTATTAGCTTTTGTATATCTAGAGGGATGATAGTTCATAAACCAAATCAACAGTTTTTCCTGTACTATTTTGCTCCAAGATAATTGGTAGTTATCCAACAATACCAGTGGTGTTAGCCCAGATGGGAAGAACATTCATTTGAGTCAGTAATTTAAAATGTTACGCCAGTTTTTTTATTAATATGTGAAACTAGTTTATACATTTAATAGCCTTACAATGCTTAGTTTGATAGCTTCAAGATATTTATAATATATTATCATTCATTTAGTCATTCAGTCATTCGATTTTCTGTCTCTCAAATATAGAAAAATATACAGTGATAGAGCAAGTATTTTTAAAATTATATATGAGTAGAAGCAAAAATCTATTTTAACTGGATTTTGAAATTATTATATATGTTAACATTAAAATTTAATTCTAAAGTAGAGGCACATATGAATATACAGAATTTACCGCATAATTACAAACTGTTATATTGAGTTTGAAAAAATAATCAAGGCAGGTTTTTACAGTTAAGAATCTATACATGAACAGATGAAATATCCCTATTTTTTTAAAATAGTCTTGTTAAAACAAATTATAAATAATGAAGGAAGACATGTTACTTTGCCCAATTACTTTAGGAGGACAGATCCTTTTAAATGAGGCTGAATGTAGATTATTCCTTTAAAAAGTTGTATAAGTCATCTATAATTTTACAGCAATTCTGTTATTTGCGAATTTATGGACAGCTATTTCAAATAGGAATGTTGCGTGATATTAAAAGACAACTAATTTGCTCAATTACCAATTACTAATGAACTAAAGTTCACGTTTTGATCTGGCTCAAGATACAAACTGATTATATAGTTTACTCTCCTTTAGGCTCACCCCCATCTCTCAATTTCAATTCTTCTGAAATTTCTAGCACAAATAACTTTCATCCTCATTCCCTTACATGCCTCTGCCTCTACCTTTCTTAACTCCTCCCTTGAGTCCTCCATCTCCCTTCTTCCTCGGGTCAGATCATATCATCATAAAGCACAAGGCAATGCTTAAGATAAACAGCTCGAGTATCAGCTTTACCAACTTCAGTTCTACCACCTGCAACCTAAATGAAGGAGTTTAGTTATTGCACCAACTTTAAAATATCACTACATTAACTCATAGCTATTTGCTGAAAATTGTATTTTAAATTTCAGCTCAGCCTGGATTTGTAGCTCAAGGTGTCCATAAAGGATTGAACTGTCCTTTCAAGTGTTCCTACTTTGATTTAATTACTACCTTGCAAAATAAGTGATAAAATACATCAGGGTGTGTAAGAGATATGCAGCTGGTTCAGGAATAGGTAAAGGAACTGTTTCTGACAGTTCAGTCCTTCAGTTTACTAACTGAAAAATAGAGAAACTAATTCGTTTGTTTTATGAGTTGATTTTATAGTGAGTTAATGAGCATGCAGCATTTTGAACCTTCAGATAAAAGCTCATTAGATATTAAAATGGTTTTATGCTTTAGTAGGCTACAAAATTAAATGTAGCAAACTCAATTAATTAACAAGGCAAGTATGACAGATCTGGGCTGCTTTAAGTGAAAGCCTTGATCATGTATGAAAGTGCTAGGATAACTATAGTGCAGTCCTTTCCATTGTGTCCGGGCATTTGTGCCTTGTTAGTAGTCACTGTATCAATATGTATCTGCAACTGGATTATGTTGCAAATGTACAGATGTAAATGATATACATGCAGTTTTTCAACTACAGTGATTAGACTCATGTAAGGTACTAAGCTAATATCAAACAAATCACAGAATGCTTTGGATGATTCTCGAATCTATGCCTTCTTGAATAACCAAGATTAGATCTATTTATATTTATTAGCACATAATTCACAGAAATTTATAATGGCAGAAGATTTATTTTTCATCTTCCTTAAGGTAAAGGTTCCCCTTGCACATATGTGTTAGTTGTTTCCAGTCTAGGGGGCGGTGCTCATCTCTGTTACAAAGCCGAAGAGCCAGTGCTGTCCAAAGACGTTTCCATGGTCATGTGGCCGGCATGACTAAATGCTGAAGGCGCATGGAACACCTTTGTCTTCCTTACCCTGTAGTTATCTGGAAGTTTGGGGAAATCTTGAGAACAGCTCAGGAGGCAGCACAGGAAACTCAGGGAAAGGGAGGAATCAGCAAGCATTCTTCCACAATGGGGGGCTAATGCTAGCTCTTTCTCTGTGGAATGACAACCTTCAACCTTCTAAAGTATCACTAGAACTATATTAATATACTGCATGTATTGCACTCAATAGCATCCTGCTTTCCTGCAGTCTTATTTAAAGCTAACATAAATGATGAGTGTATTGTTTCTCATTTTGGGGCTCTTTGTAGACACCAAGAACATACTGTGCTGCTAATACAGAGGATCTGGAAACAATTATTGATTATATACATAAGTTATATGCTTCAGCTGCATTGATGGCAGCAGGTGTTTCTCTGGGAGGGTAAGTATTTTTGTAATGAAAATCCCAATATTGTAGATTTAATCACATTGGGGAATATCTTGATTCTGAAGGCCATTCGCCCACACTCACTACAATCTTAGTGGCATCTTATGGCAAGCATATAAAAGCTCATTAGATAAATATAAATAATTGTTTTATCACATTCTTTCCCTCAGAGGAATACTATATAAGCTGACCGAAGGAAGTCACAAAAATCCTCATTAGCAATTTCCACTGCTGGAATTAAATCCTAAAACACAATTTAGTATGAAACTCAAATTTGATCACATTGATACTGAAAATAGTTAATATTATATTAATATTCTATTGCTATTTCAGCCTTGCTAACAGAGCAAACATATACTAAAAAAATGAGTCTAGAGAAGAAACAAAGACTACAAATTGGATTTAAAGAATGTTAACGGTGCTCTGTCTGGAATGAATTTTCTTATCTTGTGTTTCACTAGAAACATCTTTCTTTAAAAACAAAAATTCTTTTCCCCAGATTAGGTCCCTTTTAGGAACAGCATAGAATGGTGTGGCAGATATACCGGTCTTTCACTATATGATAGGGATTTCTGAAACCAATTTAGTAATTCAGCGCAAGCCTTTTGAGTTCCAGATTTGAAAGTGAGCATTATAATCAATGAACAATGAATATCAGCACTGCATCTAATACAACTGGCATTGTTTACTATTGAAGATTACAAAAGCTAGTGCAAATATTCAGGATAGGTACAAATACTTTGTGAGATCATTTTTTTTTCAGACATCTGTTTCTCTCCTATTTGTAGCATGCTTCTTTTAAACTATTTGGGCAAAACTGGGAAAAAAACACCATTAAAAGCAGCTCTAGTTTTTTCAGCAGGATGGAATGCTTTTGAATCTGCAAATTCACTGGAAAAACCAGTAAATTGGCTTCTTTTTAATTATTATTTAACCAGCTGCCTAAAGTCTTCAGTTACTAGGTAAGTGAAAGCCAAGTACATTTGTGTGTGTGTGTGTGTGTGTGTGTGTGTGTGGAAACGTATGAAATTCAATTCCAGTGAAAAATATGTTGTGTAAAAGAATCAACTTCACCTAAATTCATCCCACTTACACTCTTAAGATTAGCTTCTATTGCCCTATCCATATAGAACAATTGTCAGATGTCAAGGAGAAAAAGTCCTTGCTGATAGAAGCCTAACATTGTCTGAAATTAATTCTATAGACGTCCTGGGTTCTCTAAACTACTGTTCATTGTTGTTTTTACTTTAAAGGATTATATCAGCTTTATATGTGTATATTTTATCTATAATAATCTTGTGGTTGTTTATTTGTTACTTGGAATAGCAATGCTGCAAAATGTGTTTAAATTTTCCAGAGAAGTATTTAATCATAAAGATTAAATGAAATGAACTTTCTTTTTCCCCTTCTAGGTAATATATATAATTTGATTTATTTTCTTATATTATGAACCATCTGTGCTTTTCAAATATAATTTATGTTTGATTATATACCATCAACATCTGGCAATGGTATGGGCACATTTTTTCTGTGAGCTACTGTCCTCAATGAGGTCCTTAAGGTTTTCCAAGAACATACCATTGCTGCGGGAATTTAGTCCATCCATTTTGCTGCTGGTCATCCTGTTCTTTCTATTTCCACCCTTCCCAGCATCAGAGTCATATATAAGAGATAGATACAGAGATAAGAGTAAATATGTATACACTGAAAAATTGTATGCAGTGTGATCTGTTACAGTAATTAATACCAGTTCAGAAATGAATTCTTTAGTTGACCTTAGACAAGCCATCATTTCAGCTTTTGCCTTAACATGCAGATATTAAGATTCTGAAAATTAATGATTTCTCATTTTTTCTAGCAAAAAGGAACCAAGGAAGGATTAGTTTTAGTCTCATAACATTCCCCCCCCCCAAAAAAATTATTAGTTTTTCAAAATATAAAAAACAAAGAAAAATGAAAATAGTGGGAAAGTAGGGGAGGAAAAAGGAAAGAAGACAAAGTATAGGGGAAAGGAGGGGAACACATTGACTTTTGACTCCTTTTAGTGCAGTAAAATAACATACTAGCTCAACTTTTTACTTTTACATAATATATACTATCAATAGCACTTACTTACATACCGCTTCACAGTGCTTTACAGCCCTCTCTAAGCGGTTTACAGAGTCAGCATATTGCCCCCAACAATCTGGGTCCTCATTTTATTGACCCCCGAAGGATGGAAGACTAAGTCAACCTTGAGCCGATGAGACTCGAACTGCCAAAATGCAGGCAGCCAGCCGTCAGAAGTAGCCTGCAGTACTGCATTTTAAACACCGTGCCACTGCAACTAGCCAGTTCTGTAACAAATCTGTCTAATTGGCAAAACCCAAACTCAAAAATTTCAGTTTTTTCTACCTCAATTACAAAATCCAGAAATGAGTTTTTTAGTCTCATAACTGAATGTCTTATTCTTCCCGCTATGGGAGAGATAAAAACTTTTACCTTTAATATTATTTATCTGAAACGTTGCTGGATGTTCAACACTGCAATAATGCTGCTGCCCACCGGAATTTCAATAAATACCATTTATAGTATGGTACAGGATGGCCATTGAGTTTATCATTGAACTGACATGGGTGCCATTTTATGGCATGGGGCATAATATCTTTCTGGCAGCCATTGATTACATCCTTGAATTAAGCCAAAGTTATAAACTTTAAGTCTCTATAATTTTATTTCTTCATGTACAAGTTATCAATGATTTATTTACTAAATTTAGAATTTTTGCCTGAACTCATAGGCCACAATTGCTGGGACCATGAACCACAAGCTAGATAATCACTATGTAGATTAGAACATTGTGCAAATTCAGATTTCTTTTGACAGCTTTTAATTTGGTTTCTGTATTTTTTTTTATAGACATCGGCAAGTATTTGATAAACTATTTAACATGAACCTTGTAATGAAGGTATGAGTGAATCATTTGTTTCTAAGTTTTATTTTTTAATTAATGCAGATGTAAGTTCATAATTTGAATTACGTATTTCAGGCTAAGACTATTAGGGAATTTGACAAACAGTTTACCACAGTCATGTTTGGCTATCCTTCAGTTGAAGCTTACTATGAAGATGCCAGTCCATGTCATAAACTGAAGAAAATAGGAATTCCAGTGTTGTGCTTAAATTCTCTGGATGATGCATTCTCACCAAATCATGGCAAGTTTTATTTTTTGTTCTCTTATGATGATGCTCTTCATTGATCTTGAATTGACTGTCCTTAGAAATAAATTTGTATTGTATTATTTAAAAGCCTTTACAGAGTAAGGCAGCAGTGCAATAGGATTCGGATGTGCCAACACAAAGATTACCAAATTTTGTTTCAATCGAAAGTATTTTATAGACTCTAGTTTATAGTCTCATTTAAAAAGTGAGGTTTTATGTAATAGTTTGTAGCCTTATTTAAAAGGAGGGATTTGATATAACTTCTCAGGATTCAGTTTTTAATGAGGATGCAAAGTAACCAATTCTTAATTTCTAGTCTTGTAATGCAAAAGAATGTCTACATGTTGTATACAATACACACTCACACAAACACACACACTTCTGTTATGAGCAATAGTTATCTTTTATTAACCAGCATCCTACACCTAAATCAGAACTGCACTTAAGTATATCATTAAGTTCCAAATACTTTTATGAGAGTATTAAAATATTCTTTTTCTTTCCCCGCTACCCTGTTTTATTTCTTCAGCTATACCGGTGGAAATTGCAAAACAAAATACTAATATAGCTTTGATCCTTACTTCCTATGGAGGCCATATTGGTTTTCTTGAAGGACTGTGGCCAAGAAAGTGCACGTATATGGACAGAATCTTCAAACAATTTGTTCAAGCAGTGTTTGAGCATGGGAGAAAAATTGTTACTCTTTAGAAATTTATCCAAATGATGGTTGCAGCACAGTGTCAGAGTATAATTAATTTCAATGCACATACTTAACACTTAATCAACCAGAAAATGAAAATCCATGATTCAGAGCAAAATATAATTTTGCTTAAATATTTTTGCAGTATTATTGTTTTTATTGTATGCCTTTTAAAATATAATTAAAAGCACTCATAAAATTGCACTTATCTAAAATAATTAGATATTACTCAGGTGTTTTAATTTCAATAATTCAAATGTAGGAATCAGACATTTGATTACTTGTTCTAATGCACTTTATGTTCACAAATATGTGAGAGCACAGGAACAGCTTCTATGTGGGCACAGGCAATGACTAGGAAATGCTAAATACATATTTTAAAAGTAATAAAAATAGCAGTTCAAGAAGCCATAGATTGTAGCAGTTATTGAATTTTGCGTCTGTTACACAATTACATTGTCAACTCTATGTTTAAATATTTCATTTTAAGTTGTTCTAGGTATCTTATTTTTAAAATTGTTATTAAATTATACCATTTATATTTATACTAGGTCTTTTATCTTAAAATGCAGAACATAAATAAACCGCTTTTTTAAAAAACAAGCTAATTCTTAATTTTATAATTCTTGCATTTAAGGCTTACATTGTTTTGTATGATTGTGATCGGTAAAATATAGTTTATTTGAAGACAATTTAGCTTTTCTTTGAATAATAGTTGACAGGAACAAAGCAATACTGTGAATTTTTTTGACTTCCACTGGATTTTTTCCTAGTTCTCAGTACTTATGCCTAGGACTAAACTACAAAATAAACTACAAAATGTTTTCAGTGTCAGGAAAAGAGGTGATTCTTTACAATATTAAGAGGTCATTGAATTGACTGCACAGTTGCTTCCTCCCAAAATGCTTTTATAATGTTTAGTGGGTAAAACACATGGTACTGAACAGCCATGTCAGAACTAAAGGAGGAATTAACTCTAGTTGGCATTGGATAAATTAGATTCCTCTATCTATTCCCATCTTTCATTCATCATTCTAATAAAATCTTGAAAGTCTTCCAAAATTGGTTCTATTATAGGCTTTTCCATTGTAAAACATTGGTGAGGATGAAAACTGAATGTATGCTGTAAAATCAAGCAGGGATTTGGAATTATGATTTCCTAATGTGAGTTATAGGAAAAAATATAAAAATAATGGGAAAAAATATAAATCAGAAGCAGGAGGTTATTTGCCTAAAAATCTTCAAGAAAGAATATTTTAAAATACTGTAGTCGTAACTACATTCCATTTACTGAGTCTCATCTCTAAATTGGCCCCCTAAAATAAACATATCACTTGTTACATGCAATACAACACAGTTATTGGTATTTACATTGATTGATTAGAATGTTCACACAGCATTCATACTTCACTCAGAAGTGTAATTGAAATCTGAGGTTTCTCAGTGAAAGAGCTGAGTTTAAACTAGGATGAGAGTTTATTTTGGGCTGGGGACATCCAAAAGGAATATTACAGTAACTCACAAATTAAAATTTCTCAGAATTGTTAGATAAGATATATTATTTAGAAGACCTTTATAAAAAGATTCTATAAAGACAAGTATTCTTAATTTATTTTTTCTTCAAGTTATCCATATTTTTATCACAATTAGTATTGGACAAGTTACTTTTTCTGTATTGGAGTCTTTCTCTCTCTCTCTCTCTCTCCCCCTCTCTATCTAGACTGTACAATTCAGCAATGTTATATTACATCATACATTATATACATAACCATATTTTCATGGAAAAAATAAAGCACAAACCTGAAGAGAGCAAAACTTAAGTTTTCATAAGGATAATTTAACTGTTTATTATTTTCCTCTAGAAAGGAAAATTCAAAAGCAAACGAAGAACAAAGAAAAACTTTACAAAAAACAGCATATCCTAAAAAAAATATTGAAGCTCAAATTGTACACAAGTACCCCGTGGATTATGAAAGCAATTTGCAACCTACTTTGCTAGTTTCCTCACTGACTACTTTTGGTCACAAACGGTGATCCTATGATTGCATCTATCATAGGTGTGAGCCAGTTGCCAAGCTCCCAAATTGGGATCATATGACAATGGAGGCACAACAGTAAGAACTTCAAGGACTAGTCATATCACTTGTTCAGCACTACTGCTACTTTGAACAATCAATGAAGGGAATTATCAGTAAATGAGGAATACCTGTACAGATGACCACACTTAATGACAGTAGCTATAAAGCACAATAGTGACTATATGGCTTACCATTAGAAATCCAGGCATTCCCCAATGCTCTTTTTAAGTGAGACTTGGGGGTTGTTAAGTGAGGAACTCCTTGCAACAAACAAATGGAGAAGCTGTCAGGAATTCACAAGTCCTAGGCAGCTTGCAGATAGATAAGCAGCTGCTCCTGGGTGGGGAAGGGTATGTGGGTGGCCAGAGAAGCACGATGTGAGCCTGAAGGAGCCAGGGTGGCAGTTGCCAAGCACAGGGCTCTGAGCGACTTATTGGATCAACCGGCAACTTGCCCTGCCAGCAGGAAAAGGTTGCAAATTGGCAATCATGAGATTGCGAGACATCACAACCATCACAAATGTGAAATGGCTGCCAAATTGCAATACATAACTGCGGGAGTGCCGGGACAGGCAGAAAACTTCGGGGCTGGCTGTTAAATCCTTGTTCAGAACCATCATAATGTCGAAGCGTTGACGAACATATGGTCATTAACTGAGAACTGCATGTAAATTTACTTGAAAAAGACAAGTCAATTTTCATACTTTTCGCATGAAAGACCGCCTTAATTAGTACCAGTTGTACATACAAGTTAAGCAACTAAAATAAACAAAGGTATTTTTTTTTAAAAAATTAAAGGACAGGCTTTCTGAAATAAAAGCCGTATGGCATTGCAATCATATTACATCATATTGTATCATAATTTAACATTTCTATGCGGCAAACCAGGGGTCGCACCTTGCTTAAAAGTCACGTTAGTCAGAAGCAGGAAGCTAAACTATTCTGCAGTAACTGAGCATGCTCGGTAAGAGAGAAAATCCTGTCTTTAAAAAAAGTATAAACAGAACAAGCATTAACTCATTTTGAAGAACTCCATGATTCTCCAAGCGGCTCCAGGCGCTTTTAACCAACTGCGCGTGTGCAACAGCTACCTTTCGCAACGCCTTTCTCGGAAATCCGGTTCTGACGTCACTCTTATTTAAGGAGGCAAGCGAGTCTGTCAGGCGTCAGCTGGAAGCGTTCTTGGGCGGAAACTTTGTTGGTGTATAGAGCGAGAGAAAAAGGCGATCGCGGATACACTTCTGGTTCCTCAGTGCAGAACTTTGGAAAATAATTTTTTGCCGAATTTAAAATGTGATGGTTGCCGCTGTTGATCTTTCAGTAAAGTAGTAAAACAAATAAAGCGGATTGATTTAAATAAAATTGGACATTATATAAATGTTGATTAATTTATAGTAAGAGATATACTAGTAAACTTTAATTTGATGCTCTTTATTGTTAGTAGCTTACAGGTGTGATGCAATGTATTTTAATCTTATGACAACGCTATCCTCGAGATTCCAATATTTCCTCAAAGAACAGAGGAAAGAAATCAGTCACAAGTGTGAATGTGTTCATCAAACTTAGTCACATTTCCTGGATGATGTTGACAATATGGTTTTTGCGGTGAGGGAATATTTTTTTATTATTTTATATCATACATTTCCTTTCTATGTTAAGCAGTGTGCTCTCTAGGTGTCCAAGGTGTTAACATACAAACAAATAAACATCTTCATTATCATATATAAACAAATATGCAATAATATATAAACAAATATAACATCAATCCTATTATAACATATATCTTCCATTATAGTATCAATTATGTAACAGAAATATTTACTCATCTGTTTTTCTTTCTCTTATAAACCAGACAATGTGTGAAAACTATATGCCACCCGACTCCCAACCACTTTTCCTCGCAAATTTGGTAGGATAACAGATAATCAGAAGGGATCTTGTTGGTCATCTAGTCCAACCCTCTGCCAAGCAGGAGACCCTACACCCTTTCTGACAAATGGCAGTCCAATCTCTTCTTGAAAGTCTCAAGTGATGGCACTCCCACAACTTCAGAGGGCAAGCTGTTCCATTGGATGATTGTTCTCACTGTCAGAAAGTTTCTCCTTATTTCCAGGTTAAATCTCTCCTTGTTCAGGTTTCATCCATTATTCCTTGTCTGGCCTTCAGGTGCTTTAGAAAATAGCTTGACCCCTTCCTCTGTGTGGCAGCCCCTAAAATATTGAAAGACTTATCCTGTCTCCCCTGGTCCTTCTCTTCACAAGACTAGCCATTCCCAGTTCCTGCAACCGTTCATCGTATGTTTCAGTCTCCAGTCCTCTAATCATCCTGGTTGCTCTTCTCTGTACTTTTTTCTAGAGTCTCAAGATCTTTTTTCTAATGTGGTGACTAAAACTGGATACAGTACTCTAGGTTTGGTCTTACTAAGACTGGTAAAAGTGAAGGCAACTTGTCAGAGCTGGTTGAACACTGCAAATGCAAGCCATCACATTTTTGACATTTTCATTTATTTTCCGAGGTGAAACTTTAGGTAGTATTCAGAGACGGCTCCATAAATGATGAATAGGGCGGCCATGAAATTTGATCAGGGAACATTTGGACGACTTGATGTAATCCGAGTTTTCTGTATGCTTTTTTTGCCATCTAGCGGTCGTCTGATTTTTTATTTTGATTTTTTTGCATTCCAGACTGAGGGCTCTACCTACATAGATTCTATGTGGAAACCTTTCCCCACCGTTTGCTTTTTTGCTTTTCTAAACTCACTTTGTCCTTGGCATGAAAGCAAAAGTGCCATAAAAGTGCAAGGCAAACTTGTTCTTTAGGGCAGGGCTCTCCAACCTTGGCTACTTTAAGCCTGGAGGACTTCAACTCCCAGAATTCCCCAGCCAGCAAAGCTGGGAATTCTGGGAGTTGAAGTCCTCCAGGCTTAAAGTAGCCAAGATTGGAGACCCTTGCTTTAGGGAACTGCAACAGCCTCTCGCCTCCCAATACGCCGGAGGGGCGGAACTTGTAAGAGGTTTGCGGCCTTTAAAACACTCGGCCTCTCTTTTTTTCTTTTTTTTTTACCCCCGCATATGGGAGACCTTGAAACCCGCAACAGACAACCGGAAATCCATGTCGGAAGCGAATTGCAGGCTCGGCCCCAAATCCGGATGCGAAGGCTCGTTCCTCGTCCTTTCGTGCCGGGCCGGGGTGACATGGGGAGTTGGCGGCGCTGACGCGGAAGCTGAGACGGTCGCTTCCCGGCCACTTTTGTTCCTTGCGCTCCTCCGCCTCCTTTGCTGGGGGTGGTCCGTTGGCCAGGTGAGGCGGCCCAGCCGCTCTCTCTCTCTCTCTCTCTCTCCTCCCCGCTCCTGCCCGGGCTCGTTCGCCGTCCTCGTTATAGTGGACGAAGAGGGGCGGAGGGGGAAAGTGGCAGGGATAGAGGAGGAGGCCTTGCTGCGCCCGGCTCGGTGGCTCTTCCTCGCCCGTCCATAGTGCCCTGGGAGCGGCGGGGCTAAGGATCGAAGGGCCTCGGC